GATGAACGAAATGATCATGTGGGTTCGTATACAGAAATGTGGTCACGAAGGTAGATGGGTCCCAAACCATTTAGGGCTTTGTAGGTAAGCACTAGGCTTGGGCGATCAAGAAAAAAATTGGTTCTAAACTCGTTTCGTTTCTAGGGTGCGCTAGTGTTTCGAAATTCTGAGGACTTCCGAAATTTAAGATTTAAAATTTCGAAATTATACGAAATTTTGTAAAATTACGGATCGATTCGTTAATGGCGGACGCGATTGCGCAATATGCTAAAAAAACCTCCAAATGGGACAGGGGGAACTTCTGAAGCTTCCCTCTCCCTCTGTTGTTGACTGTTGGTGTGATAAAACAAACAACAACTATATTATATTATATTATATTATATTATTATATATTATATTATATTATATTATATTATAATATTATATTATATTATATATTATTATATATTATATTATTATAATATTTATTAATTATATATTATATTACTTATATTATATATATAATATATTATAATATATAGTAATATATAATATAATAGTATAATAATATAATATAATATACAATACTATAATATAATATAATAGTATAATAATATAATATAATATATATTATATTATTATATTATATATTATATTATATATTATATTATATATTATATTATAGTATTGTCTATGAGAGTGAGGCAAGAAGAAGCCTGAGGAAAGAGGAGGGAAGCAGCAGAGCAAAGGGACCGGAAGTGGGGTCAATGCGAGATTGTAAAACTTGCACCAGACATATGAAAATAATTACGAAATAATTACGAAAATTGGAAAAATTGTTTCAATTCTTAATTACTCCTCACACTATTCCTGCATGGCTCGATATTGGATCGTAAGCTAATTTAAATACGAATTAATAACGAATTACGAAATTAACGAACTGGATCGCCCAAGCCTAGTAAGCACCTGCACCTTGAATTGGGCCTGGAAGATAAATGGCAGCCAATGGAGCTCCTTAAACAGGAGGGTTGACCGCTCCCTGTAAGGTGCGCCAGTTAACAGCCTGGCCGCTGCCCGTTGTACCAACTGGAATTTCCGGGCCGTTTTCAAGGGCAGCCCCACGTAGAGCGCATTACAGTAGTCCAATCTAGAGAATACATTCAAAGGGTCAGAAAAATTCTCAAAAGCAAGCTCAATGGAGGCAACACCATCAAGGCCATAAACTCCTGCGCCATACCTGTCATAATATATACTGCTGCCATCATAAACTGGACACAGGCAGAACTGGACAATTTGGACAGAAAAACAAGAAAACTCATGACCATTCATAATTCACTACATCCTCGCAGTGATGTTGACCAGCTCTATCTGTCTAGAAGGTTTGGTGGCAGAGGACTTTTACAAGTCAAACAAGCAGTCGAAGAAGAAAAACACACCCTGGCAGAATATGTCAAGGAAAGCCAAGAACCTGCTTTGAGTGAAGACAATAATCGGAAACTTCTCAAAGCACAGCAGACAAAGAGTCAGTGAAGACACAGGTCCGCAGTCTAGGTGTCCTCCTGGACTCATCGCTTACGCTTGAAGCTCAGCCGTCGACGGTGGCCGGGAGGGCCTTTGCACAATTAAGACTCGTGCGCCAACTGCGACCGTACCTCGTGAAGGCGGATCTGGCCAGGGTGGTCCATGCCTTAGTCACCTCTAGATTAGACTACTGTAATGCACTCTACGTGGGGCTGCCCTTGAAAACGGCCCGGAAATTCCAACTGGTCCAACGGGCGGCAGCCAGATTGCTAACTGGCGCTCCTTACAGGGAGAGGTCAACCCTCCTGTTTAAGGAGCTCCATTGGCTGCCGTTCATTTTCCCAATTCAAGGTGCTGGTGCTTACCTACAAAGCCCTAAACAGTTTGGGACCCACCTATCTGCATGACCGCATTTCTGTATACGAACCCACACAATCTCTTCGATCTTCCGGAGAGGCCCTGCTCGCGATCCCACCTGCATCGCAAGCGCGACTGGTGGGGACGTGGGACAGGGCCTTCTCTGTGGTGGCCCCTAGACTCTGGAATTCACTCCCCAAGGATATCAGGCATGCCCCGACGCTGGCAGTTTTTAGGAGGAGCTTGAAAACATGGCTGTTCCAGTGTGCCTTCCCAGAATAGGAAACTCCAAGCACTTGGTCCCAAATGCACTTGGCTAGAAATCTAGGATTGTCTGCACGCCCTATCTTCGCCAAAATACCTATCCATTTCACCCGGTTATGCCCAGTTTTTTAAATTTTTAATCCATTACATTTGGCTCTGACATTGATTTTAATTGCGTTGTGTTGTTATTGTTAATGTCTATTGCTTGAGTTATTTATTGATGTATTGTTGTTATGTTGTTTATTGATGTATTGGGTCTCGGCCTCTTGTACGCCGCACCGAGTCCTTCGGGAGATGGTAGCAGGTTATAAATAAAGGTTTATTATTATTATTATTACTATTACAAGAAAACTGCGCTCCAAACCAGAGCTGACAGCTGGCACAACAAAGCCTTGCATGGGCAGTCCCTTGACAAAATTGAAGGGAAAGTTGACAAGGAGAAGACCTGATGATGGCTCACGAATGAAACCCTGAAGAAGGAGACAGAAGAAGGCCTGGTTCTTGTAGCCCAGGAGCAAGCCATCAGAACCAATGCCATTAAGGCCAGGATTGAAAAATCAGCGGATGACCCAAAATGCAGACTGTGCAAGGAAGCGGAGGAAACTATGGACCATCTCCTCAGCTGTGTTGAAAATTGCACAGATGGAGAAACGAGCCTCGCAATGTTCTCTGCTGACGCTAATGGAACGAATCTTAACAAAGCAATGCCGAAGCTTTGGAGATTCGGATTACGAATTAGAATGGGACTCCTTTGAATCTTTACTATCCGAATCTCCAAAACGAATTACTCATCAGATTTCAGCTGTTTTGCACACCTCTAGAAAACATGCTATCAACTTTTCTACCCCTTGTGTACTTCCTAGAAAGTAACTTGAGAAGCCATCAGACACAGAGAATCTCCTCACTTGATGGCTGAGATGTCTCCTTGAGTTTCGGAAGCCAACTTCAGCACAGCGGAGATGCTTCTGTCTTTCATCCATGGCTCTTCTATGCTGCAATGCAAAACATTTTCTTTTCTTTTCTTTCAAGTTTTAAAAATTTCATTTTCACAGTTTGATGACAAAAAGGAAAGGGGAACAAAGGAAGGAGAAGGAGGAGGAGGAATAGAAGGAGGAAGAGAAGGAGGAGGAGGAGCAGGAGGAGGAGGAGGAGGAGGAGGAGGAGGAGGAGGAGGAGGAGGAGGAGGAGGAGGAGGAGGAGAAGGAGAAGGAGGAGGAGAAGGAGAAGGAGAAGGAGAAGGAGAAGGAGGAGAAGGAGAAGGAGAAGGAGAAGGAGAGAGGAGAAGGAGAAGGGGAGGAGAAGGAGGAAGGAGAAGGAGGAGGAGAAGGAGAAGGAGAGAAGGAGAAGGAGGAGAAGGAGAAGAGGAGAAGGAGAAGGAGGAGAAGAAGGAGGAGGAAGGAGGAGGAGGAGGAGAGGAGGAGAAGGAGGAGGAGAAGGAGGAGGAGGAGAGAGGAGGAGGAAGGAAGGAGGAGGAGGAGGAGAGGAGAAGGAGGAGGAGAGAGGAGGAGAGGAGGAGAAGGAGGAGGAGGAGTAAGGTGCCTAACCCATGTATGCTTACCAGCTCGACATGAATCCACGCACCTACTCAAACAGGCCACAGAGACTCTAGAGAACTTCCCCCCTGAATCACGGCAGCACCGCATCCAATCGCGTGAGACGCACCTAAACACAAATCTCACCCATCCCTTTAATTTATAGCCTGCAGTGATCAGGAGGAAAAGGAGAAGGAGATGGAGACAGGGACGGGAGATAGTAGAAAAATATAATATGTCGCAGAGTTTTGTTAGTAAATTAATTCTATACATGAATCTATTGTATCACTGGGGGTATGAAGGGAGTAATATATATATATATAAAAATAAATTCAACATACAAAGGTGTTCCATCTTCAATTCCAAAAGCAAATGGATTCTCGTCATTTGGCGTTAATGCTGATCTTTCTGTCTTCTTATATTGTCCCCTCTTTTCCTTACCTTCTCCTCCGAGGCTGTGTAATAAGTGTTCCTTCTAATTGTTTGCCAGTTTACTTAAACATATTCTATTTTCTCCCCGAGTTTTAATAATATCTATTTATTTACGTATCTCAGAGTCAGTTATTTTGTTAATACATTAGTGATACAAATATAAATACTTAGCATACTGTCCGTCTTGAAAAGATCTTTAATTTGTCTATCTTGAAACTATGAGAAGTCTTAAAAAATCTTTTAAATTTCTGACTCCTCTTTTTAATACTTTCTCCCCTTTTAGTAAGTCTCTATAGGTTGGCCAAATCTGCTTTTCTTGACTAGTACTTTTCAAAAGGTGGTCTACACATGTTCATGGAGATTCACATGTGCCAAACGGATGTGACACCATATTTACCTTTTCAATAAGGTTATGGTGCCCTGGAATTTCCAATAGGTTATGGAATTTTCAATGTTGTTTACCTTTCCAAAAGAAGTCCCATCCTTTGTATACTGTCAAGTTTTTTTTTCTGGAGTTATATACCATCTATAAATCATTTTATAAATGTTTCTGGTGAATTGATTAAGGATGAAACCATTTGGAAACTATCCCCATGAACTCTATACATTATGGTATTAATTTGCTGAAATATCCTTACCTTATTCTCAAAGTGCCGGCTGGTTTTTGTAAGACTCTAAACAGAACTTCTGTATTGCTGAGCATCAAGCCATTGTTGGTTGAGCTAATAACCAAGAAAATAAACTTGAAACACAATGGCGTAGAGACTGTTCTTAAGTAAGTAGAATATAATATATTTTCCCACTAGGATAGGGGTGTGTCTACACCGTAGAATTAGTGCAGTTTGGCACCACTTGAACTGCCAAGGCTCAATGCTATGGCATCATGGGATTTGAAGATACAACACCAAACTCACGTGAAATCGTTCAAGGAGGTGCACTTTCCCAACTCAATGGACAATTGGTCCAGATGTTCTTTTTGGAAGTTGCACTGCGTTATCCTGAAAGAAAGGAAGAAAGAAATCAAATTACGGAAAGGCAATGAGCTGACATTATTTACACTGATGACCTAAATATGCCTCTATTTATTATTTATTTACAGTATTTATATTATGCCCCTCTCATGGTGGATCACAGAACACATACCCGGCAAACATTCAATGCCAGTTAACAGACAGAAGAGAAAACAAATAGAGAAATTGTATATGTCAGCATTTTCCCAACTTCGGTGTTCTGGAGGTCATGCTTTATTTTGGCCACTGGAGGGTGCTGTCACTCCTTTCTATATCACAAAGAGCCCTTGATTACAGACTTCCTCCTTTCTTTGATCGTCGGCATTTTCTTTTTATGGTGCATAAAATACCTCCCTGCTTAAGCGGTGCCTAATTTCTCTGCTCACCCCTCACGGCTGTTTTCTAATTGCTTAGGTGGACAGTGAGCTGGGCTGAAGGTCAGATGCTCACCTCAACCCAAGCTTTGAACTGCCAACCTTTTGATTGGTGTGCTCAAGTGTGTATGGTTGTGTGAATATGTGTGTGTGTGCATATATATATATAATGGTGTATGTGTATTTGCGTGTATACACACACACACACACACATATAATGATGGTATGGGTATTTTGTGTGTGTGTTTATACATACACACACACACGGTATTATAATGCTTTATAATGACTCAGCATCACTCCTCCTTCTCCTGCAACTGGTAGTAGATTCACTGCTGAGACGCTGAGCCTCAACACCCTACCATTATAAAGCATTATAAATACCGTGCGTGTGTGTACATATATGTGTGTGTGTGTATATACATACATATTAGTAATATATGTTTGTGTGTATATACTGAATATATGTATGGTGTGTGTGTATATATACATACACACACGTGTGTGTATGGTTGTGTGAATATGTGTGTGTGTGTATAATGGTGTATGTGTATTTCTGTATATATATATATACACACACACACACACATATATAATGATGGTATGTGTATTTTGTGTGTGTGTGTACACACACACACGTGGTATTTATAATGCTTTATAATGGTGGGGAGTGTATGTGTGTGTGTATATATATATATACATCCATATTAGTAATATATGTTTGTGTGTATATACTGAATATAAGTAGATTACATACACACACAAGTGTGTATGATTGTGTGAATGTGTGTGTGTGTGTGTGTACACACATACATATTAGTCTATCTATCTATCTATCTATCTATCTATCTATCTATCCATCCATCCATCCATCTATCTTCCCTGTCATTTTGAATTTCTCGAAGACGTTCTGGCCAGAACAAGATGACAACCAATTTCTACTCAGAGCTTCCCATAAATTATTTTCTCTCATCCTCAAATACTAAATTTCTCCCCTTCCCAAATACTAATGAATCCAAACAGCTTAGACCAGAGTAAATGGTCCTTGTAATTTCACAATGTCCCTTAATAATGCCATAAATATGGTATTACGCATTAATTTATGTCTTATGGCAGACTAACAGTTTTTGCAGTGTGGGAATTGTTGGGTTTCATGAAACCCAAACAACTCAATGGGAGTCGAATAATACTTCACTAATAATTACCTGAGGCTCTTTTGAAGTTGTTCTTCCTTCACAAATGTGATAAGCAGCATTTCCATGGAGCAGAAACTGAGGGGAAAATGGTAGAAATATTGCTTTAGAGCAAATGCTGTTAAGCATTGATCACAAATGACATTTAAGTGGATTTCTCATAGCTTTCACGTCTGTGCATTTTGTCTTGATGAGAAAATATCTGAATTTCTGACTTTTCAATATTTATTGCTAACCTGACGTCTTTTCAAACATTTTAATTATATTTTGTTTACAGTATTTATATTCCGCCCTTCTCATCCTGAAGTGGACTCGGGGCGGATTACAGTGCACATATACATGGCAAACATTCAATGCCATAGACACGCAACATATATAGACAAACAAAGAGGCAATTTAAGCTTCATGAGGGTATGCTCGTACTCCGGCCACCGGGGGAGCTGTTGCTTCACCATCCACTTGATGGAGTACTTCCTCATTCTTTTGCACGCTGCTGGAGAGTTTTATGGTGTCGTAAATTAGTTAAATTAGCCTCCCCGCATAAGCAGTACCTAAATTTCCTACTTGACAGATGCAACTGTCTTTCGGGCTGCAAAAGTCGACAGGAAACTAGACAAATGGTTGAGAGTTTAGATATACAAGACAGACAGACAGATAGTGGCATTTTGGCTGGAGGTTATGCTCGATTCCAATCACAGAGGGTACTGTCGCTCCTTTGCTGTGACAACAAGCTCTTTTTGATCATAGAATTTTGCTTCTTGTTTTTTGATTTTTTTTATGGTGTTGTAAAATACCTCCCCGCTAAAGCGATGCCTAATTTATTTTACTCACAGTTCAGCTGTTTTCAAACTGCTTAGGTGGACAGTGAGTTTAGGCTAACAGTCGGGTGTTCAATCCAACTTGGGCTTTGAACATACCACCTTCCTGCAGATCTATTGCTGCTGAAGAGTAACCACAGCCCGGTCCTTTTACATTCCTTTGGAGATCCTAATATTACCAAAGCATCATCTACATACACGTTTATTTTTATTTCTTCCTTACCAATTTAAAAACCTTTAATTTTTATTGTTTCTGATTAGATTGGCTAAAGATTCTATTAGCAAGATGAATAGAATTGGTGAGAGATGACATCCTTGTTTTGTGCCGCTTTTAATCGTAATGATTCTTGATTTAGACCAGTGTTTCTCAACCTGGGGGTCGGGACCCCTGGGGGGGGTCACGAGGTGGTGTCAGAGGGGTCACAAAAGACCATCAGAAAACCCAGTATTTTCTGTTAGTCATGGAAGTTCTGTGTGCCAAGCTTGGTTCAATTCAATCATTGGTGGAGTTCAGAATGCTCTTTGATTGGAAGTGAACTATAAATCCCAGTGACTACAACTCCTAAATGTCAAGTCTCTTAGCCCCAAACTCCACCAGTTTTCACACTTGGGCATATTGAGTATTTGTGCCAAGTTTGGTCCAGATCCATCATTGTTTGACTCCACAGTACTCTCTGGATGTAGGTGAACTACAACTCCCAAACTCAAGATCAATGCCTAGCGAACCCTTCTAGTATTTTCTGTTGGTTATGGGAGTTCTGTGTGCCAAATTTACTTCAATTCCTTCATTGGTGGAGTTCAGAATGCTCTTTGACTGTTGGTGAACTATAAATCCCAGCAACTACAACTCCCAAATGACAACTCCCAAATCAATCCCCCCAAACCCATCAGCATTCAAATGTGGGCGTATTGGGTATTTGTGCCAAAAGTGAATGATCATACATTCGGCATATCAGATGTTGACGTTACGATTGATAACAGTAGCAAAATTACAGTTAGGAAGTAGCAATGAAAATAATGTGATGGTTGGGGGGTCACCACAACATGAGGAACTATATTAAGGGGGCACAGCATTGGGAAGGCTGAGAACCACTGATTTAGACCCATTAACTATTATTTATGCTTGATCCTCTTTGTATAATTCTTTAATAATCTCACAGTTTTGTTCCAAATTAAAGTAATTGAGAAATGGATAATAAATATCTGTACCTTACATGAACTTTGGCAATCTTTTGGGATGTGGCGAAGATATGAATGAGATGGAGAAAGCCCTCTTGAGAGATCTGGTTGTGGCTGACTCTAAGAAAAGAAGAAAAATGTTGTTAGTAGCTCACTATTTTATCATGGTGAATTTTCTCCTTCTGTTTTGGCCTTTTCTCCTCCCTTGAAAGTTGTTCAACAGTGGAACCCTCTGCTTTGGAGTCTGGTGGAAGCTCCTTCCTTGGAGGTTTTTAAACAAAGAATGACCACAAATGTCACTGTGAATCAAGTCAAGCACTTTGCTAGTTCTCTTCTCAGTGTTTGCATGAAATGGGAGACAGATTTTTGTTAAACACAAGCTCTACGTTTGTTGGTGTGCTTATTGCTATTTTGCATGCTTGTAGCCAAATTCAGTTTGTGTAACTGTAAAATGGTTTCTGGACTTCTGCGACCAAAACGTTTATGTTGCGTGTCATGCTATTCTCATCTACGTGTGTCTTAGCCATAGTAACTTGTTCAGTTGGAACGCCATCTTTTTCACAAGCCTGTGCATATAAAATAGTCTAGTCTTTAAAAGTATTTCAAATCCTTTCTTGTCTAAGGCAGAAACACTAAGTAGGTTGCAATGCAAATCAGGAATGAGTAGTACATCACGTGCCAGTGGATGGCCGTCTGCCGGGAGTACTCTGATTGTGCCTTTCATGCATAATGGCAGAAACACCCCAGCAAGCGAGAGTCCAAAAGTGGCAGGCCCAAACCCAGCACCTCAATTCATGGGTGATACCAGATGAGAGACTCCCCCCTGGGCACACAGAAGACTGGGCGACTTGGAAGGCGCTGAACAGACTGCGCTCTGGCACCACGAGATGCAGAGCCAACCTTCAGCAATGGGGCCACAAAGTGGAATCCTCGACATGCGAGTGTGGAGAAGAGCAAACCACTGACCACCTGCTGCAATGCAACCTGAGCCCTGCCACATGCACATGGGCAATTCTTGCGGCAACACCAGAGGCATTCCAAGGGGCCAGATACTGGTCAAAGGACATTTAATCAACTACCAAACTTTGCAAAATCTGTGTGTTTTTTTTCTTTTTCTTTTTAATCTGTGTGTTTGTTTTGCTTTGTTAGAATTGTAATACAATGGTTGCTGATGACACGATAAATAAATAAAAAATAAATGGCAGAAAGGGATTGGACTGGATGGCCCATGGAATCGCACACAATTATAATTTTATTTATTTATTTAAAACCTTTATATTCTGCCCTTCTCACCCCGAAGGGGACTCAGAGCGGAGCACAGCACATACATGGATACAATACATAAACATTAAAAAACATTTATCAAAATATTAAAATACACCATTTAAAACCATCCTAGTCATCCACGTCAAATCTAATTGGCCTGGTCATCTTTCCTATTGCTGCTTTATTGCCCTGTTATGTGACTTGAAGATGTTTCTGATTTTTGGCAACTCTAATGTGAACCTCTTGTGGGTTTTTCTTGGCTGCCAATTTGTCATCTTTCCTATTGCCGCTTTATTGCCCTGTCCTGAAAGCTTGGTCCCACAGCCAAGTTTTGACCATCCTTCTAAAGGACAGGAGGGAGGGGGCCGACCTGATCTCACCAGGAAGGGAGTTCCATAGCTGGGGAGCAATCACCGAGAAGGCCCTGTCTCTCGTCCCCACCAGTCGCGCCTGTGACAATGGCAGGACGGAAAGCAGGGTCTCCCCGGAGGATCTTAATCTCCGTGATGGTTCATAGGGGAGGATGCGTTCGGACAGGTAATTTGGGCCAGGGCCGTTGAGGGCTTGATAGGCCAAAGCCAGCACTTTGAATTGTGCCCGGTAGCAAACTGGCAGCCAGTGGAGCTGGCGTAACATGGGAGTTGTATGCTCCCTTTATGCCGCCCCAGTTATTAACCTGGCTGCCTCTCGTTGGACTGTTTGAAGCTTCCAAGCAGTCTTCAAAGGCAATCCTATGTATAGTGCATTGCAGTAGTCTATCCCAGATGTAATGAGAGCATGGGCCACCATGGCCAAGTCTGACTTCCCACCGTATGGGCACTGCTGGCACACAAGTTTTAATTGTGCGAACGCTCCCCTGGCCACTGCTGCAACCTGGGATTCCACGCTCAGTGATGAATCCAGGAGAACTGCCTTCAAGGGAAGTGTGACCCCGTCCAGCGCAGGTTGCGACCCTATACACTGTTCGGCCTTGCGACTGACCAGGACCTCTGTCTTGTCTGGATTCAACTTCAATTTGCTTGCCCTCATCCAGACCGTCGCAGCGGCCAGGCACCAGTTCGGGACTTGGACAGCCTCCTTAGCATCTGGTGGAAATGAGTGATAGAGTTGGACGTCATCTGCATACAGATGGCATTGAACTACAAAGCTCCGGATGATCTCACCCAGTGGCTTCATGTAGATGTTAAACAACATGGGGGACAATACTGAGCCCTGAGGGACCCCACAGGACAATGGCTGTGCGGCCGAGCAGGAGTCCCCCAGCAACACCTTCCAGGAAGGACTGGAGTCTCTGCAGAACAGGACCTCCAAGACCCATCCCCCAAGGCACCCCAGAAGGATTATTATGTATTCACATGTTTTATGTAATCATGATGTTGTTGTTTTTTGTTTGCGTTTTCGGTTTGCGTTTTCGGTTTTACTTTATTGTAATTTGTTGTTTGGGCTTGGCCTCATGTAAGCCGCTCCGAGTCCCCATTGGAGAGATGGTGGTGGGGTATAAATAAAGATTGTTGTTGTTGTTGTTGTTGTTGTTGTTGTTGTTGTTTCAGAAGATTCCATTGCTTCAGTGTTATGTGCACTCCATGTCCCCAGTTATATTTTTGGAATTGTGAAGAAGAACCTGCAATGTACTTAGGTTTGCTGGCACGTGTGACCCTCAAATCCTACGGGTGGCCCTTGGCCTCTAGAACCAGGACCAAGGCCTCTAGAACCCACTTACCTCAGAAGGCATGAGGTCTGAGCTTCGGGCAAATGTTCTAAGAGGAGCCGCAATCCTTCATTGCCAAGAAGATTCCCGGAAAGACTGCAGAGGAGAAAGACATTTATAGCCAATTTGTAAATGAGTCCATAGATAGCCAAAGTGACCAGTGTGAGATTAGATAGTAGGTTAGATCAGGGGCTGAGAGCCAGTAAGATGTAGTAGTTATAGTGGTTCAGAAATCTGGGTTCTTGTGTGCAATGACCGCCTTTGAGACCCTTGTTATGTGACTTCCAATTATTTTAACTTGAGACTAGGATCAAAACATTCTAAAGCAGTGTTTCTCAACCTTCTTAATGCCGTGACCCCTCAATACAGTTCCTCATGTTGTGGTGACCCCCAACTATAACATGATTTTCATTATTCTTTCATAACTGTAATTTTGCTCCTGTTATGAATTGTAATGTAAATATCTGATATGCAGCTTGTATTTTCATTCACTGGACTAAATTTGGCACAAATACCTGATACGCCCAGATTTGAATATTGGTGGGGTTTGGAGTGGGGGGTTGATGTTGTCATTTGGGAGTTTTAGTTGCTGGGATTGATAGTTCACCTACCATCAAAGAGTATTCTGAATTCCACCAACAATGGAATTGAGCCAAACTTGGCACACAGAAATCCCATGATCTACAGAAAATACTGAAAGGGTTTGGTGGGCATTGAACTTGAGTTTGGAAGTTGTAGTTCACCTCCATCCAGAGAGCACTATGGACTCAAACAATGATGGATCTGGACCAAACTTGGCACGAATACTCAATATGCCCAAATTTGAATACTGGTGGAGTTTGGAGAAACTAAAGCTTGACATTTGGGAGTTGTAGTTGCTGGGATTTATAGTTCACCTCCAGTCAAAGAGCATTCTGAACCCCACCTACAATAGAATTGGGTAAAACTTTCCACACAGAACCCCCATTACCAACAGAAAATATAGTGTTTTCTGATGGTCTTTGGCAACCCTCTTACGTCCCCTGGCGACCCCCCCCCCCAAGGGTCCCGACCCCCAGGTTGAGAAACGCTGTTCTAAAGGTACCAAATCTGGTCTGATCTTAGATGCTAAGTAGGGTTAGCCCAGGTAAGTACTTGGATGGGAGGCCACCCATGGATACCATGCTTTGTAGGCTTTATCTCCTAGGAAGGAAATAACAAAAACCATCTCTGAGTCTCCATCGCCTAAGAAAACCATAAGAAATGCACTGGGTTGCTATAAATCCAGGGGCAACTTGAATAAGGATAGGTAACACTATTTTTGTTCCTGGATTATTAAATATCATTTCCTAATTGGTTCTATCATTTAAAAAAAATATCCATGGAAACTGTTTATTAAACTGCAAAACAAAAAACAAAAACATTGCTTTTTCCAAGAGGGACATCCTCCAGTACATTTTGCTATGTTGTTGTTGTTCATTCGTTCAGTCGTCTCCGACTCTTCGTGACCTCATGGACCAGCCCACGCCAGAGCTCCCTGTCGGCCGTCACCACCCCCAGCTCCTTCAAGGTCCAGTCACTTCAAGGATGCCATCCATCCATCTTGCCCTTGGTCGGCCCCTCTTCCTTTTACCTTCCACTTTCCCCAGCATAATTGTCTTCTCTAGGCTTTGCTGTCTCCTCATGATGTGGCCAAAGGACTTCAACTTTGTCTCTAGTATCCTTCCCTCCAATGAGCAGCCGGGCTTTATTTCCTGGAGGATGGACTGGTTGGATCTTCTCGCAGTCCAAGGCACTCTCAGAACTTTCCTCCAACACCACAGCTCAAAAGCATCTATCTTCCTTCGCTCAGCCTTCCCTAAGGTCCAGCTCTCACATCCGTAGGTGACTACAGGGAATACCATGGCTTTGACTAGGCAATGGATCTTTCTTGCCAGTCTGATGTCTCTACTCTTTACTATTTTATCGAGACTGGACATTGCTCTCCTCCCAAGAAGGAAGCGTCTTCTGATTTCCTGGCCACGTCTGCATCTGCAGTAATCTTTGCACCTAGAAATACAAAGTCTGTCACGGCCTCCACGTTTTCTCCCTCTATTTTCCAGTTGTCAATCATTCTTGTTGCCATAATCTTGGTTTTTTGACGTTTAGCTGCAACCCAGCTTTTGCGCTTTCTTCTTTCACCTTGATTAGAAGGCTCCTCAGCTCCTCCTCGCTTTCGGCCATCAGAGTGGTGTCATCCGCATATCTGAGGTTGTTAATGTTTCTTCCAGCAATTTTCACCCCAGCTTTGCATTCATCAAGCCCCGCACATCGCATGATGTGTTCTGCATACAAGTTTAAAAGGTTGGGTGAGAGTATGCAGCCTTGCCGTACGCCTTTCCCAATCTTGAACCAGTCTGTTGTTCCGTGGTCAGTTCTTACTCTTGCTACTTGGTCCTTGTACAGATTCCTCAGGAGAGAGGGAAGGTGATTTGCTATGCCCATCCCACCAAGAACAATTTATGATGATCCACACAGTCAAAGGCTTTAGAATAGTTAATGAAACAGAAATAGATGTTTTTCTGAAACTCCCTGCCTTTCTCCATTATGCAGCGGATATCGGCAATCTGGTCTCTCGTTCCTCTGCCTTTTCATTTTGCTATAGTTTTTCAATAAACATCTCATCGAGTGTCAACCCTTTCAATGCAGTTTGTGGAAGCCACAATTCTTCCTGATGAGTCCTTCTTTTTAATCGGGAATATTATTTCCATTCTTACACCGCCTTATGTTTGCATGGAGATCTCACTTACTCCAGTTCCGCAAGATGGTCACATTTTTTGAGGACCTCACACAGCTCCTTCACATTGGCTTGACCAAGGTCACATCCTGTCAACCTGGTAGAGATCACAAAAGCATGAAAACAAACAAGGATTACTGGATATATTCCTTTTGGTGCACTATACCAGCTGAAATATGTGTGGGGACTCAGCCTGTGATTGTGTACCTGAGCCTGTGTTTGAACCTGTGAATGTGTTGCAGTCTCCTGATGTTTCTGGATCTGATGTGGGTAATAAGGAAGGAAATCAGTCCCCTGTTGCTTCTGATGTGGGGGATGCTGGGACTGACTCTGAGGTGCAAGATGGAAACACTTTGGTCATTGAGTTTCATGCAGACACTGACAGAGAGGTTTCGGTGCAAAGGGCAGATTCTCATGAGAATGTTTCTGTCAGGCCTTGGGAGAAAGGTTTACTCCCTCCATCTGGGAGCAATCCAGATTCTAGTTTGGAAAACAGTCTGGCACCTGCTAAAGTTAATGAGGAGTCAGATAAGCAGAGCCGGCGGCTGGAGATTAGCCAGAATCGACAAGAGGCTCAATGTTTACATAGATCCGAAAGAATTCGTCAACTAAAGTCAAAGATTGGGGGGAAATGAAACCAGCTTTTGGGATTTAAGGTTTGTCTGTAGAAAATCTTGTCGGGTCAGGCATTGTTCGGAAACTAAGCACAAGCCTCATGGAATTCCTGTTCAAGTGATCTCGTCTTCATGGATTTTTCTAGCTTTTCAAGGTGACTAGCAGCGTCTGGTCTATTCTTGCTTCTTGTTTGATTCCTGTCTGAATATCATTGCCTTGGATTATATGTTCATGTTTTTGAATATTGATTGCTACATTTAGACACTGTTTTATCTGGCTGCCTTTGAATGCCTTATTGCTTTTTGGAACCTTATCTATCTTTACAAGCATTTATTTCTACTGGCTTTTTTGCTAAGTTTTAATAAAAAGGATTGTTCCTTCACACAACGTGTGGTGTGTTTATAGTCAGAGGGGCTAATTCCTGTTCTGGAGTGCAACAATATGTTGTAGGGTGCAAGAGTAAAAGCATGAAAAAGGGTGGAGGATGCAAGAGCAAAGATGGGAGCAAAAACATTGACTGAAATGTTCTCTACAGCCTTAACTTCATTAGATCCAATGGGATTTACATACTCATTGACTTGCCCTATTGGCTGAATGGAATTAAACCTCTGTGGTTCATCTTAAACCTGGTGAGTTGTTTCTCAGTCCTGGCCCATTTGGTTTAGCATATGCTTGCTGGGCACAGATCCTCTTATCCGTGGTCCTAGCTCAATCACTACAAACTTAGACATTATTTGCTTTCCTTCACTTCTACTGTCAGATTCTGGGGAAAGGACAACACTGTAGAATGAATGCTGTTTGACACCAACTGCTGTGGAATACTGGGAGTTGTATTTTGGTGTGGTACCAGCCCTCTTTGGCAGAGGAAGCTAAAGGCCTTGCAAAACAACAACTCCCTGGATTCCATATAAGTTAAAGTAGTATCAAAGGGCATCAATTCAGTTTAAATGCACTCTGAGATTGTAGACCAATCAAAGCACTCCTCCTTTTCCAAGAAGGAAAGAAGGAAAGAAGGAAAGAAGGAAAGAAGGAAGGAAGGAAGGAAGGAAGGAAGGAAGGAAGGAAGGAAGTTGGAGTTCAGCCTGTGATTGTGTCTAATGATCAGGGTACTCTGGACGTTAGGAATGACAATGAGGTTCATGTATCTAATGATGTTTCTAATGATGAGGTGGCAATTGATGCAGAGAATGACAATGGGATTCCTGTCAAAGTGTCTGTTCTGATGAGAATGTTCCTGAAGAGTTTGGGGATGATGATGTAGCCCCTGAATTGCTACCAGAGAATTCCCGTGACTTGGAGCCTGGGAATAGCTTGGCACCTGAACCAGTTGCAGAAATTAATGAGCCAGTAGATAAAAGGCATGTTTTTAGTCAGCACAGGCAAACAGAGCAATCTCTCAGGCTGAGAGAGAGATTGATAACAGAGTCAAGGCTGAAACGAAATCCGTTTCTGGCTGCTTGGGACATAAAGTAATTAGAAGATAAAAGTGCCAAGTACAGGATCTGTAGTCAGATGAAGCATCATTTGGAACTGTGTCAAGACATCTTTCCTGGTCCTTGGAAGCCTTGCCTTGGATAGATTCATGTGTTAAGTGCTTTTTGATTTATGATTCAAGCTTTGGAGTTTAACCTTAGAAGTTTCTGTTGATGTGTTTTGAAATGTATAATGTAGTTTTCAAAGTGTGTTTGTATGTTTAAAGTGCAATGCTATGTGCCAAGAATATTCCTGTGTGGAACGAGTTAACTGTACCATGAAGGAGATCAGCATTCCTAGAGAGGTCATAAATCTAAGTGTATAGATCAATGGACGCAGCGTAGTGCGTCATACGTCATACGTCACTCTGGAATTTAGGAGGTGTGGACTGCTACTGATAACAGCGTGTTCTGTGTTCGCGATGTAGCTGCCGGATGGATTGGAAGCAGTTTTACGATGTGCTTAGCTTCTAATGTAAATCGTCGTGTCGTGTCAGTAGCAACCGCTCCTGTTGTGAGAGAATTGGCCGTCTGCAAGGACGTTGCCCAGGGGACGCCCGGATGATTTCTGATGTTTTATCATCCTTGTGGGAGGCTTCTCTCATGTCCCCGCATGAGGAGCTGGAGCCGATAGAGGGAGTTCATCCGCCTCTCCCGGGATTCGAACCTGCGACCTGTCGGTCTTCAGTCCTGCCAGCACAAGGCTTTAACCCACTGCGCCACCGGGGCTCCTTCTAATGTAAATAGTTGTACAATAAATTAGTTTATAGCCTAAAGGAGACTGAAATCGATGTGTTTCCTTGCCTTGCTGTGCTGAGATGCCACTGACAATTTCTGTATTTGTTTTTCATGAACTCTGATGGACTAATTTCCTGGACTATTTATTCTTGCTTATCTTTCTACCTAATTGGATTTACTTATTTTTATGGAGTGTTTTTTAACTGCTTCTGCTTTTAAAATATCTTCAATAAACTGCTTGATTTCTACTCTGCTATGTGGTGTTTAAAGTCAGAGGGCTTTCCTGGCCTAGAGTGCAACAGGAAGGAAAAAAATGTGATGAAATTGGTATGCGCCTACCTGCAGGATGTTTCTTGACTTTCTGGATTGTCCATAAAATGCAAGAAGGCATTTCTATTGGATCTAAAATCATGTAAGAGAGAGAAATAAAACTATAAGGTTTGAATTTAAGAATTATTCCAAATTTATTTAGCATCCGACTCAGTTTCCATTCTCTGTCAGCTACGTTGGGAGAGATGCGTCGACCATTGCACATCCATAAACTAAGTATGGGTTTCATAACTGTGTATTTGCTCTTTTTTAAACAGATCAAGAAAACGGGCAACTGTTATAATTTATATCTTTCACATTTGGGATTTTAGCCTCTTACCTGACTTCCACTTCGCAGATCCTCTCGCACAAGTGAAGTGAGCTGACGAGAAAGAGAAGACATTTGGGCGAGAAACTCTTCTCCGTAATGCTGTAAAATCAAAACATTGGGTCTGGAATCAAGGCTTTGCAACAGAACTGGAAATGGATAAAGGAATGCTCTATCTCATCCTTCAGTTTATTTCCTTTTTTAAAAAGAGGATTTTGCTTGCCTCTCTCTAGCCACCTTGATTAGCATTGAATGGCCTTGAAGCTTCAAAGACTGGCTGCTTCCTGGATAAGCATGTGGACAATTTCAACAGAAAGGAGGAAACTATGAAAATGAACAAAATCTAGCTACCAGTATTTTAAAAAACTCTAAAATAAGGACAGTAAATAAAGAACAACACTCAGAAAACAGAGGAATTCCAGTCAGGAAACAGTCAGGGCTAGCTAACACCTCCCAACAAAGGATTCCCAGAAACTGTTTATTACTCAGGCCATTGGTTTTTTGCTTGATGGTTGTTTCTATACTGTGTTATGTTGTTGTTTGTTTTATATTGTTTTATGATTATGTTTTATGTACTTTATGTGTTAGAGATTAATTATGTTGATCGGGCTTGTCCTCACAAAAGCTGCTCCACATCCTTTCGGAGAGATGGAAACGGGATATAAAAATAAAGTTATTAATTTTATTATTATTTGAAACACAGAAAGATTAGTACACAGCACAAATATATATATATATATATATATACACACACACACATACACAAAATGCATATACACAAACTGGGCCACAGCAACACGTGGCAGGGGACAGCTAGTAAAATCATTATTATTATTATTATTATTATTATTATTATTATTATTATTATTATTATTGAACTGCAAAGACTCTGGCACAAGCAGATCAAGGTGGTCCCAGTGGTGATCAGCACACTGGGTGCAGTGCCTAAAGACCTTGGCCTGCACTTAAAAACAATTGGCGCTGACAAAATCTCCATCTGTCAGCTGCAAAAGGCCACCCTACTGGGATCTGCCTGCATTATTCGCTGATACATTACACAGTCCTAGACACTTGGGAAGTGTCCGACGTGTGATCCAATACAACAACCAGCATAGTGATCTTGTTTGCTGTGGAATCATCTTGTTGTGTTTCAAATATAATAATAAAGAACTCCAGTCGAGACCTTCTTTCCAAATTGTCTTAAGACAGACACTGGAGACTCACCGTAAGAGCTTCAGGCTCTTCAAATGGGGCAGGAACGCCAGCAGTTGTTCCATCTCCCGATCTTTCAGCATGTTTCCATACAAACTGCATTGGAACACAAAGCAAGGTAAAATACTTAGAATCATAGAACTCGATGAAAATATTTGATTTGTGAGATCCAGGTTCAAAGTGATCACTGAGACATTAGTAATTATTCTCATGGAGGACTAGGGCCCCATCCAGGGGCGGCCCTAGGTAATTTTCAACGGTAAGCAAACAGTATTTTGCCCCCCCCCCCAACCAATCGCGTATATATTTTCTGTTCATTGTGGGAGTTCTGTGTGCCCTATTTGGTTCAATTCCATCATTGGTGGAGTTCAGAATGCTCTTTGATTGTAGATGAACTATACATCCCAGTAACTACAACTTGCATATGTCAAGGTCTATTTTCCCCCCAAGAGCACCTCAAAGAGCGCTCCTGGGCAACATCAACTATACTGCAAAGGCTTACTTTGCGTAATGGTTGAGCCGGCCCTGGCCCCATCTACACTGCAATATAATGCAGATGGAATTGGGTTATATGGTGAGTGTACACTCACATAATGCAGCATTGAACTGCATTATACGAGTCCACATTGCCATTATAATCCAGTTCAATCTGCATTATAATTGCAGTATAGATAAGGATTTCGATTCCCAAACTGACCATATCAATCAAATCCATGAAAAATCAAATCCGCAAAAGTTAAACCTGCAAAAGTAGAGGGCCTGGTGAAAAAACCTGGGTAGTTAGAAAGAAATAACAGAAACAATAATATAATTTTAATAATTATATTAATTAAAATACAATATTTATTTATTTATTTATTTATTTATTTATTTACAGTATTTCTATTCCGCCCTTCTCACCCCGCAGGGGACTCAGGGCGGATTACAGTATACACATATATGGCAAACATTCAATGCCAGTTTGACAAACAACGTATAACAGACAATACGCCAAAGCTATTTAACGCTTTTTTTTTTTTCTGGCCGCCAGGGGAGCTGCTGCTTTTCATCGTCCATCAGCGACACCGATGCAGTTCTTCCGCATTCCACATTCCCCGGAGTCTTTTTTCTTTATGGCCTCATAAATTAGTTAATTTAGCCTCCCACACAAGGTGGTACCTTATTTTCCKACTTGATGGATGCAACTGTCTTTCTGGTTGCAAAGGTCGACAACAGGCTACACAATGGCTGGACACCCGCTCCAGCCTGGGCTGGCTTCGAACTCATGACCTTTTGGTCAGAGTGATCTTAATGCAGCTGACACTCAGCCAGCTGCGCCACAATCCCGGTGCTGAAATACTATTATATTATATAATTACAAATAAGAGAATTATATCATCATCATCATCATCATCATCATCATCATAATCATTTAATTACTTATTAGTTGCCCTCCATCCAAAATGCTCTAGGCGATTTACAAGCTAATATATATATATATATATATATATACACACACATACACACACACACACACTCAGTATTTTTAAAAAATCACCATTATTATTATTATTATTATCATCATCATCATCATAAAATATAATATAATATATAATATAATAATACAAAAAGAGAATTACAAAAAGACAATTAAATATAAACACTCCATATTTTTAAAAATCACCATTATTATTATTATCTTAAAATATAATATTATCTATAATTATATTATATATATTATAATACGATATACATAATAAAATTATACAAAAAGAGAATAACAAAAAGAGAATTAAATATAAACAGTATTTTTAAAAATCGTTATTATTATTATTATTATTATATTAATTATGTTTAACACTGTTTTAATATTTATATATTTTAAATTGTGCTTTTAATGTTACCCACTTTGAGTCTCATTATGGAGATAAAAAATGGGATATAAAGAAACATAAATAACAACAACAACAACAACAACAACATAAGCTATATCCCCAGACAACATTTTAACAACTTTCCTTCCCTGAATATGTATTCATACCATAGTTATTTGTTATTAGGAGAGTATGCTCCCGTGAAAGCTTCATCTATAGCAGCGGTTCTCAACCTGGGGGTCGCGACCCCTCAGGGGGTCGTTCGGCCATTTTCTGGGGGTCACAAAGCCTCATTGGCTGGCCACGCCCCTCCAAAATGGTCCAGATCCATCATTGTTTGAGTCTGCAATGCTCTCTGGATGCAGGTGAACTACAACTCCAAAACTCAAGGTCAGTGCTCACCAAACCCTTCCAGTATTTTTCGTTGGTTGTGGGAGTTCTGTGTGCCAAGTTTGGTCCAGTTCCATCATTGGTGGAGTTCAAAATGCTCTTTAATTATAGGTGAACTATAAATCCCAGCAACTACAACTCCCAAATGACATAATCAATTTTCCCTCCAACCCCACCAGTGTTCAAATTTGGGCATATTGGGTAATGTAAGGTAAATGTTTTCCCCTGCCATTAAGTCCAGTCGTGTCCAACTCTGGGAGTTGGTGCTCAATTTCCAGGCCAAAGAGCCGGTGTTGTCCATAGACACCTCCAAGGTCATGTGGCTGACATGATGCCATGGAGCGCTGTTGTTGGGTATTTGTGCCAAATTTGGTCCAGTGAATGAAAATACATCCTGCATTTCAGATTTTTACATTATGATTCATAACAGTAACACAATTACAATTAGGAAGTAGCAATAATAATAATTTTATGATTGGGGGGCACCACAACGTGAGGCACTGTATTAAGGGGTCGCGGCATTAGGAAGGTTGAGAACCACTGATGTATAGACTTTAATAGCCATACAGTATGATCCCAAAAGTTACTGCAGAGTTGCATTGGAGGACCTAGCAAACTCCTAGGCAAGATATCTCTCTGATAGTCTCCAATGCAATTCTAAGCACTGCTAGGACTGAAAGTGCAATGTAGCTCTTGTATGTGACCCAAATCCGGGCACGATCTCCCCAAAGACATGCAAATGTGTCCCTTAGAAATGCAAATGATTGAGGGAATGATCTCAAGCTTTTGTTGATCATCCAGTGGTCTTGTGGGAATCTACAGATCAGTTGAAAGCATAGCTTTCCTTGATCTGTGCTCCTAAATTGCATTGAACGTAGTGTCCGGATCAAGAGAAGTCATACTGCCATTCTATTATTCCTTAGCCATATCCAGGTGTTGGAGGGATAATGGGTGAACTGGAATAAGGAAGGACTCCCAGTTTGATACTCCCCCTCTGTGTGTCACTTACTTGATCTCTCCCAACTCCGAGCATGTGATCAAGATGCGGAAAAACTGGTCGATATCATCGGGACCCACGTTGCAATCTGTGAGACTGAAACACGGAGACCTGTTTGGCACTCAAAAAAGGAACACTTTTTTGAGTTCAATTTTTTCAATGAGTATCTCCTCAAGTCTCAACCAATTCAAGCTAGTTTGTGGCCACCACAAAAATGAAGTTTCCCTAGTAGTATGGTTGTAGATCATCCTGAGGCTGATGGGTTCACTGATTATTTAGAGGGTATTGTGGGATTGCCTGTGGGATTCCCTGGGGCTTGAAGTGATGAAGATTCAAGTAAGGGGAATGATGCTTCTCTCTATGAGAAATCAGACTCTGAAAGTGAAGGGCTTCAAGGTCAGTCATAGGGGCCAGAAACTGCAACATTAGATAAGAAGTCAGGCAAAGAACTAAGTGGTACAGAAGACTCGCCATCTATTTTATCTAATACGCCAACTTCATGAAAAGACCACACTCAAAGTAAGATGCAACCCACAGGGTCACCTCACCGAGACTGTTGAAACAGGCAAGGGTGTCAAGCAAGGCTGCATCCTGGCACTTTTGCTGTTCAACTTTTATATAAACACCATAGTGGACCAGCTTCAAAACATGGACTTCCACCCCCAAAGCTGGCGGGAAGACACATCTCCATCATGCTTTATGCAGATGATGCTTCTTGTCGCACCTCAGAATAGATTCACCTTGCTAAAAAACACCAAACTGCACACAGCCTGAAGTCTTTATAGTTTATTAAAAATTAAAAGATAAAAAGTTCTTAAAAGCAAAAGTAATATTCCAAAAGATCCATACAAGGTAGCACTTTGAAACAGGATCCAAGAAGGCATCAGCAAAACATAGTCCCACGAGAACATGACAAAGTCCTTAAACCATGAACATGAAAACTGCAAGATAATCCAGGCACACAAAGGCAAGCCCCTTGGTTGAAACGAGAAGTTGCTCTGACACAGGTTTGTTCTCAGACACCGTGTTTAATACCCTTTGCAAAACATGAAGGTGTTTCTCTAGCCTCTAACCTTCTTTTTGTTAGCTATTCTCACACTCCTTCGAACTCTGAATTCCAAACAGTCAGCCCGATCTAAGCTTCCCACTTCGTCAAGGTCAGTCTGTTCGTTAGTGCTTTCTTGCTCATTATCGGGCTGAGAACTGTCCTCCTTTTTTGAATCAAGTTGCACCTGGCTATCTGTATCAACAACATCATCCCTTGCTGTGGGAAACTGAACTTGCACACCCTGTTCCTCGTTGTCTACCACAGGGACAATTTGAACCTGATTGTGAACCTGAATCCCATCATCCTCATCAGAATCATTAACACTATCACTCTGTGGTTCCAGCTGAGTCACAACACTGCTGTACTCTCTAGAACACCCATTGGGCTCAAAAGAGCTCTGAGAGCATTAATACAATATTGCAACACAGATCAGCTCCAACTTAATTACAATAAAACCAAAATCATGGCTTTTGCTAATAGACCCAGGACTTACTCTTGGAGCATAGATGGCCATAAAATTGAACAAGTCACATGCTTCAAATATCTAGGTGTAGTCCTCCAATCTAATGGTAGCAGAAGAGCTCATGGAGATCAAGTAGCCAACACCGCGCAGAGGAGTTCAACTGCCATTCTTAAGTCAAGAGGAGGCCACTTTACACCGGCAGCGCTCAAACTGTTTGAAGCTAAGTCATTTGCCCAACTCTTGTATGGTGCTCAGCTGGGCCCCTTCCCCAGTTTTGCCCCATTAGAGCTAGTTCAGTCAAAGTTTCTGAGATCGTCCTTGCAGGTACTGAAATGCATTTCTAATGCCATCCTGTGACTAGAGACGGGCTTTATGAGGGTGGAGGCCAGGGTGTGGGTGGCCATACCCAACCTCTGGCTCAGGCTATCCTGTGCGCCCCTTGGTCTTGCCCCACTAACCATGGAGGACTACTTCCAATCCACATGGGAGCAGACAGTAGCATCCAAAATCTCCTCATTGGGATTTTCTCCAGGTCTACTACTCGCTATGGATTACAATCAAGCCAAAGCACTTATTAAACAACGTATCACAGACTCAGAGCACCAACTAGATCCGGTCTCTGTTCCAACCTTCCTTATCAATGAAGACAGCAGCTATCTTGCCTCCCCTATGGCATATTTAACACACTTAGAGGTTCCTATTCATCGAAGGGCTTTCACCCTGGCCCGATGCCATGCTCTCCCATCAACTGTACTCAAAGGCCACTACCGGAAGATCCCTTTCCCAGAGAGACTCTGTCCTTGTGACTCTCAACTAGCTGTGCCACAACCCAGTCCTTTAGCACCTTGGATAGCTCAGGAGCAAAATCAGCACCCACTTGTGACACCAATTGAGTACTTCCTCATTCTTTTGCACCGCTGCTGGAGAGTTTTATGGCGTCATAAATTAGTTAAATTAGCCTCCCTGCATAAACGGTACCTAAATTTCTTATTTGACAAATGCAACTGTCTTCCACCCTGGCTTGATGCCACGCTCTACCATCAGCTGTACTCGAAGGCCGCTACCGGAAGATCCCTTTCCCAGAGAGACTCTGCCCTTGTGACTCGGGTCATGTAGAAACAATAGAACATGTGCTCCTTCAGTGCCCGTTCTACAGGGATAGCCGTGCCAGGCTTCTCTTACCTCTGATATACAAGCACCTAGGCCATTCAGGACAATTTTATACCTCCATGCTACTTGCAGATACTAATTCAGCTACAACCTACAATGTCGCAAAGTTCTGTGCAGCAGCATACACAATCCGTCAGGGGATGACGAGTCCCAAAAGTCAACTGTGTGTCCAGTAATCATCTTCCCTGAATCTACAATTTGCTGATGGATCTGTTTTTACCCTGTTTCCCCCTCCGCTCCCTCACCCATATTGTGCTTCAGCAGTTATATTTATATTTTTAATGTACTAAATGTACCAAGTTTGTATGAAAATGCGACTTTTATTTCCTGTGCTGGTCTATGACCGAAATAAATGATTTGATTGGTTTGATTGGGCTCCCAGGAAAAAAAAACACCTAGAGCTACGGAGATCAACAAAGGTCTTACAGATCAGAGAAGAAAATAGGTTTTACTAAGTATACATTTTTCTTGTGGACTTTGGGCTATTCCTGGACTGTGTTACCTTTGAATCTGCAGGAGACAATTGGATTCCTGCTGCATTATCACCAAATTGGGAGGGAGAGCCAATACTCCAGAGGACAGGAGCAGGATTCAAAACGATCTTGACAGATTAGAGAGATGAAGGGCCAAAACTAACAAAATGAAGTTCAACAGGGACAAATGCAAGATACTCCACTTTGGCAGGAAAAACGAAATGCAAAGATACAGAATGGGGGACGATGCCTGGCTCGAGAGCAGTACGTGTGAAAAAGATTTTGGAGTCCTCGTGGACAACAAGTTAAACGTGAGCCAACAATGTGATGTGGCGGCAAAAAAAGCCAATGGGATTTTGGCCTGCATCAAGAGGAACATAGTGTCTAAATCTAGGGAAGTCATGCTCCCCATGCTCTATTCTGCCTTGGTTAGACCACACCTGGAATATTGTGTCCAATTCTGGGCACCACAATTCAAGAGAGATATTGACAAGCTGGAGTGTGTCCAGAGGAGGGCGACTAAAATGATCAAGGGTCTGGAGAACAAGCCCTATGAGGAGCGGCTTAAGGAGCTGGGCATGTTTAGCCTGAAGAAAAGAAGGCTGAGAGGAGATATGATAGCCATGTATAAATATGTGAGAGGAAGCCACAGGGAGGAGGGAGCAAGCTTGTTTTCTGCTTCCCTGGAGACTAGGACGCCGAACAATGGCTTCAAACTACAAGAAAGGAGATTCCATCTGAACATTCCTGACTGTGAGAGCCGTCAGCAGTGGAACTCTCTGCCCCGAAGTGTGGTGGAAGCTCCTTCTTTGGAAGCTTTTAACAGAGGCTGGATGGCCATCTGTCAGGGGTGATTTGAATGCAATATTCCTGCTTCTTGGCAGGGGGTTGGACTGGATGGCCCATGAGGTCTCTTCCAACTCTAGGTTTCTATGATTCTATGACTCTATGATTTGGGAACAATGGCTTCAAACAACAAGAAAGGAGATTCCATCTGAACATGAGGAAGAACTTCCTGACTGTGAGAGCCGTTCAGCAGTGGAACTCTCTGCCCCGGAGTGTGGTGGAGGCTCCTTCTTTGGAAGCTTTTAAACAGAGGCTGGATGGCCATCTGTCAGGGGTGCTTTGAATGCAATATTCCTGCTTCTTGGCAGAATGGGGTTAGACTGGATGGCCCATCAGGTCTCTTCCAACTCTTTGATTCTATGATTCAATGCTAAACCTTTTTGGATTATACGAGGGTTGAATGAAAAGTAATGCCTCCACCTTAGTTACTTGGATTTGGATTGGAACATTTTAATAAATCAAATGCAGAAATAATCCTTAGAATGTGCTCTTTAACTTCAAATGCTGGGTGATTGTTGCCTGGGGGAATCCTTTGTTGGGAGGACAGTAAATAAAGAGCAACGCTCAAAAAGCAGGGGAATTCCAGACAAGAATCAGTCAGGGCTAGCTAACACCTCCCATCAAAGGAAAGACATCCCGCAGCACATTTTGCCATAGATTTGCCATGAATATCTCACTGAGCCTCAACCATTTCAACCTAGTTTGTGGAAGCCACACAAACAGAGCTTCCGGAGTAGAACAGCTACTTTCAAAATAAGGACCTTAAAAACTTACCCCATGTTTTTATGACAGAATGAATTAGGAAATGACACTGATATCTCAGGGAGAAACGGCACCTTACCTAAAGCAACGGCCACCCACTGCAGGCTCGCACATCTCTTCTTGATGCTCATTGTCCAGACTGTGATGTCAAAGAATAGAAAAGAAAACCCACCAGTTAGCTGACAGACACAAACCCTTTGATTATAGGCATGTGCAATCCATGCTTCTAAATGGTTCTAAAGTACTTGCAAAACTAAAATTCTGGTGGTGAAAATTAGGGGGCACTGGTGCTTTGCTTCTACAGTGTTGCTAAAGTTCCGGTGATGAAAATTTCACAACTCTAACAAAACTTTCAAAATTTCATTATTATTTCATTACTAGCAGTCCCCTGCCATGCGTTGCTGTGGCCCAGTCTGGTGATCTGGGAAATAAAGTAGTGAGAAAGTGTTGGTTTCTAATATATGTAATGTCTTTATGCTTGCAGGTAAACAGTATTTCTTGCTGTTTCTTTGTCAGTGTTGATATGGAGATTGTCTGGTTTGCCTACTCTGGAACGTGCAACATATCATTGTCCTTCTTTAGGGGTCCCTTTCAAATCTTTGGTACTTTTTTTTGGTCGTGTCAGGAGTGACTGCAAGTCGCTCCTGGTGTGAGAGACTTGGCCGTCTGCAAGGACGTTGCCCAGGGGATGCCTGGATGATTTGATGTTTTTATCATATCTTCGGTACGGCATCTGTCATATACATATATGTGTATGTGTGAATGGCTGGATGGCCCTTTGTCAGGAGGGCTTTGATTATGTTTTCTTGCCCTGGTGAAGGCAGTTGGACTGGATGACCTTAAGGCAGCATTTCTCAACCTGGGAAGTCAAGACCTTGGGGGGGGGGGGGAATGTCACTAGGTAGGGTGTCAGAAGGGTCACCAAAGTTCCGGTGATGAAAATTTCACAACTCTAACAAAACTTTCAAAATTTCATTATAAGGGTCACCAAAGACCACCAGAAAACACAGAATTTTCTGTTGGTCATGGGGGTTCTGTGTGGGAAGTTTGGCTCAATTCCATCGTTGGTGGGGTTCGGAATGCTCTTTGATTGTAGGGGAACTATACATCCTAATAATTACAACTCCCAAATGTCAAGGTCTATTCCCCCCAAACTCCATCTGTGTTCACATTTGGGCATATTGAGTATTCATGCCAAGTTTGGTCCAGATCCATCATTGTTTGAGTCCACAGTATTCTCTGGATGTAGGTGAACTACAATTCCAAAATTCAAGGTCAATGCCCACAAACCCTTCCAGTATTTTCTGTTGGTCATGGGAGTCCTGTGTGCCAAGTTTGGTTCAATTCCATTGTTGGTGGAGTTCAGAATGCTCTTTGATTGTAGGTTAACTATAAATCCCAGAAACTACAACTCCCAAATGACAAAATCCAATTTTTGAATGATGGTCACTCCTTGGGTTAGTAGGTGACTTGTGGCCAAACTTAGTGGCAATTCCTCCGGTGGATTTTGAGTGACGATGTCACTCAAAATGAACAGAGCATTTTTGTCTGGTTTGCCTACTCTGGAACACGCAACGTATAATTGTCCTTCTTTAGGGAACCCTTTCAAATCTATCGTACTATATCTGTCATAAACATGTGTGCACGCGTGCGTGTGTGAGAATAATATATATTTATCTATATATATGGCTGGATGGCTCTTTGTCACGAGGGCTTTATGTTTTCTTGCCCTGGTGAAGGGAGTTGGACTGGATGGCCTTAAGGCAGTTTTTCTCAACTCGGGACACCTGGGGGGATCATGAGGGGGTGTCAGAAGGGTCACCAAAGACCACCAGAAAACACAGTATTTTCTGTTGGTCATGGGGGTTCAGTTTGGCCCAATTCTATCGTTGGTGGGGTTCAGAATGTTCTTTGATTGTAGGTGAACTATAAATCCCAGTAACTACAACTCCCAAATGTCAAGGTCAATTTCCCCCAAACTCCATTTGTGTTTATATTTGGGCATATTGAGTATTTGTGCCAAGTTTGGTCCAGATCCATCATTGTTTGAGTCCACAGTGCTCTCTGGACATAGGTGAACTACAACTCCAAAACTCAAGGTCAACGCCCACCAAACCCTTCTAGTGTTTTCTGTTGGT